CGGTCAGTTATATTAAAATAGTCTGAAAAAAATTAATTTTTATTTATATATTATACATATTACCCAACATATTTCAATGGATTCATTATTTATGTTACAACAACAAAAAATTGGTAGCGCTTCTCACTTATTTATAATTTATTTTAAACCTTAAAAATTTTAAATTTGGTTAATGATTCCGTTTTACTATTATAAAGCAATTGAATTTGTTAATAAATTTTCATAGCAAATTAACAAAACTGCAAATTCGAACATACAAGTCAAGAACAGCTTTGGGTCAGTTCACTAATGAACACTGACTCTAAGCTTAAAACTTTACAGGGCACAAGTTTAACATATGTTGAACTATATACCTATATAAGTATATAACAGTTTTGTTTCTGTTAGCTAATCAACACTGACTCTGAGTTTCAAATTTGGCAGGGCATGAGTTCAGTCCTTGGTGCTTGTAGTCTCAAAAACTTATTTACGAATAAATAAATATAAGATATAATTCCCAGACCACTGCAGATGGGTATTTGGCAATACTCGACTTGTATGGCCAGCCAATAATTTAATTAATTAAAAATAAATAAAAATTTTTGTTGTTGCAATTCACTACTGCTCGAAACCTCTCCATTAAATACAATAGTTTCTATTAAGTTAAATAATCATTGCTGTCAAAACTGACGTTATATATGCCATAAAATTTAAATTCGTTATTTAAAGAATTTTTAAAAAAACGGTAAATACTTTTTATATCATATAAATATGTATATTTTATGTATATTTGGCTAAGAAATACAATATGGAGTATAAACATAAACTAAATAAATGGTTCAAAAATAGTGAAAAATAAAATTCAATTTTGTTAGAATTACAAATAAGAATGTAATACCTTAGAAGAATTATATCATTGATAAGAATATAAGAACCGTATTTTCTGGGTATCTTATAAACTTTTTGGGTAAAAAATTTTATGAAAAAAATTGAAAATAAAATTTGCTTTACAACTTCAACATTTTATTAATAATATTTTCCAACTTTTCTTAAATCATATTTTAACTTTGGACTTTTTCTAAAACTTTGAATATTAAAAAGAAAAATTTATATTCAAAATTTCATTTTCGCAGTCGTAAGGAATACACGTCACTTTACCAACAAGTAATGCACTCAGTTGTGCAACATTGCGTATGAGTGCCCAACGTTCATGTATTCTGCGCTGCAGCCGGTAAAAGCTGCAACGTTGCCACATGCACGCTTTTCTCTACTTATAAAGACTTATGTGTGCATGCATGTGTGTATATGTCGAAGAGTGTATGTATATGTGTGTGTATGTGAATATTCTGATAAATATTTAACCTTGACCGTGAATTTAATTTTAGCGTCAGAGAAAAGCTTTCGCGTAGTTTTATAACCCACAACACACCACCGCCACCACCAATACACCACCAACACACCACTAAAGGTATGGAAGGGGGTTTTCACTTTCCTTTTTTGCATGAAATATTTTCTTAGAAAATTCCACAGGTTTTTTGTAATTTGCGAAATCAACACAAAAGCGCATGTGACCTGCAAATGCCATTTACGTAAAATATTAAAAGAAAATTTAATAAAAATAAAAAATAATAGGAAAATTTGTTATTAATTTTGTTGAATTTTAAACGTCAATTGCCAACAAAGGCAAATGTAACGTCAACGTTGCACTTCAGCAGTACAAGTTTTATATGAAAAAAGTGTCTATTTTTTTTTTTGTTTGGAAAAAGAAAATGTCAACTATTTTTGGTTGTAACTTTTATATATAATTATAGAAATTATAGCAATACCAATAAAACAGATTTAATAAAAGAAAACTTAATTAAAAAAAATTTATTAGAAGTATAAGAAGGTATTAAGACTTAAGTCTATGACATATGTACATTTGTCCAATATATGGATTAAATTACACGTCTATATATATAGTCACACATACATATATATGTGTGTATATAAATATATAGACACATATATATAAATGTATATATAAATATATATACACGTATGTCTTTGATAAGTTACAACCACCCTAAGTTATTTGCGTAATTCCGTTTAAATGGTTGGATTACTTATATGAAAGGCAAAAAGAAAAGCAATTTAATAATCGCACAATAGGACGCACCGTCCTACAAGGACGATTTATCAAATAATATGAAAGTAAAACAAAATTTATTAAAAAAAATACAAAAAAAAAAATAATTCGAAGATATCATGTGGGCAGTAAAAGCACAAAATTGATGGAAATACCAAGGTCTCAAAGACCTTGAATTGTATTTAATTCAATTAGAATTTTTCATGTTTTCTATTTCTATGCAATATTTTTGTCCAATGAGTCGAAAGGATCGTAGAAGGGTGCATCTGTGAAAATTGTGAATGACGAAAGCAGTGCTATAAATAAAAGCAAAAATAATTTAATAAATTATATTCTCTTCAACTCATAAAATCTTTTCATATTTTTAACAAATTTAAGTTGACTAAATATTATATTAGCTAATTAAAAATTATTTTCTGTGGCGAAAAATATTAAAGCTACTAAAAAGTCTGTAAAATAACGATTTGTTAACTAGTACATAATTAAGTTTTTAGGCAATACAAAGTAAATAGACAAATACACAGATAGACACCAATGGCAACCTCATTCTTAGAAGACGGATACACTGAAGCCATAAGAAATTTGTCCGTCGTAATACCACAAAGTCTTTTATGGTGTTAAGTTAGGGTAAGTTTAAGGGATTTCTGTTAATACAAATGACAACACTTTTACTCAGAGACATCTTTCGTACATTATTATCACCTTAAAGTTGCTATAAAAAACGAAATACCATTGCTTTCATTATAGCTTCTTGTATTATACTTGCTCAATTATTTGGTTTTTCGACTGAAGTGAAAGCTATCTGTACCAGCTTCTTGTGTTATGCTTGCTCAATCATTTGATTTTTCATCTGAAGTCAAAAAGATCCAAAAAGTCTTCTTTCATTATCTGTACCAATCCAGGGACGATCCTTTCTCATAGACATTGTAGCTTCTTCATCTACAATTGTGTACAAAAACATAGAGATTGATTCATTTCACTTTTTTTCTCTTTATCATAATAATTTCCGCACAGTCCATTTGGCACTTCCCTTTAAACATCTGCCTATGTAGCACAGTATCTCAACACTCCCGTAAGCACAGAAACTGCAGTTTTAAAAAAACACAATAGATCTGTTGATCTTACCACATCTTATATAGGACACAGATTCCTTACAAGCTCAGAAATGTTACTGCGGGACTAATTCATAAGTCTTTCGTAAAGTAAATATACACTCCTAAACATTTACACACTAGGGTTTGAGGTGTCGATCACATTTGCTACTTCGTTCTTTTTGATACCCATATGTTTAGGAATTCAACAAAGAAAAACCTTGTGGTGATCAATGTTTATTAGTAAAATGCGATATTACTCGCGGACATACCTCTTTAAGTCATCCACACATATAGATGATTACCGTCACAGATCCCAACTCCTAACTCAAATACTCTATATATATTAATTAATCAATGATTTATACACCAAAAATTTAATTTCGAACAAATTAATATTAGTTAAAAAAACATATGTTGATATTAACAAATATTTCAAGCTATAATTAATATTTATATAATTTTATGTTGTAAATATGCCATACATATTATATTGTCATTTTTCGAATGTTATATTTTATATTTAGGGTAATAAAATTAATATTGATAAATTTTTATAAACCATGTTCAGAATATATAATTATATGTTGACATTATCACATTAAACAAATTTACGCAATTATGTCAATAAATGCATACCAATTAGTCGCATTTTCCTTACAAAACAATTTTTAATTCAAGAATGCTACCTCAAACACCTTAATATGACAAATTATATTAATTACAAATTGTTTTAATTCATTACCCCTTTTTTATTTTAATTTACAAGTTGTCTTTCATGTTTTAAATTTGCTGTTCGCTAAATCGCTAAATAACTCACATTCGATAAATCTCAAGTGTGAACACTATATAACTGCATTTAGGTTACATAGTTTAAAATAAATTAATTTTTATATCAATTTTTGTGAAAGAAACTTAATTCTTAATATAAACTATTGTTTACAATAGATAGGTATTTGAACAATAATAAATTACAATAATAAAATTTTATTATATATGAATTACCATAGTTGAACTTTTGGCTGAACGTACAGCTGTTTCGAGTATTGTTAAAAACCGTCATCAGTGGTCTTGAAATTATTACTTATATATAATTAATTGTTAATAATTTTTTAAGACTACGTAGACCAAGAGTTGAACTCGTACTCTACAAAATTAGAAGCTCAGAGTCACCGCATTAGCCAACTGATCCAAAGCCATAGTTGACTTGCTCAAATATTATAATAAAATCTTAATTTAAAAAAACAAGAGTAGCTCTCCACTGGGAGAATCACCTAAATTGTAAATTATCATGACTTAAATAGTATTTAACAAAAAATTGTAAAATGTCACAGCATTATGTGACAGAATATATATTGAATTTGAATTAAATACAAAAAAAAAATTTTGTTAATAATCGTTAATGTGATTAACAAATTGACTTGCTGTATTATATTATATTAAAACAAAATCATGAACTAAATGTAGAACAAGTAAATTAATTAATTATATTTTTAACTTCCAAACTTCAATTCTATTATTTTGTAAAGGCATAATTTATAATAGCAAAAAAGATTTCGCGATTTATAGCTCCCTTATATTTTACACAACACAATATCCGAATAATGCATATACTAAGAACATTACGCACAAGTTATAATGTATAAATGAAAAGACGGCAACTCTTATTATTGTTCCATATTCATTTTGTTCCATTTATACTCTCTTTTGCACCAGCTGTTTTGTTTATGCGAAACCAAAACAAATGGTGCAAACGCACATGTGTTTATAAAATTGTAAATATAAAATTAATTGTTAATATTAAAAACTTATAAAATAAAAATGTTAAATACACTTGAACCTTTCAATAAATATTTCGTTTGCAACTTTAACAAATCTACAGATACTGAAAGTAAGAAAGTTAAACTATAGCTCATGACATTTATTAATATTTTACATTTAGCGATAGAAAATGAGTTGCTGCGGCTGCTGTGGACATGCAATTTCACCACAGAAAATTTGGAAAAATTATTGAGCACTCATTTGAGTAACCAGAAAGACAAATTAAATGATGAAGAAGCTAGAACTGCCTTATGCCAAGCGATTGAATTAATATTAATTTTTGTGCAGTACAATTTTACCGGTCCTACAAAATCAGTGGATGAATTTACTGAATTAATAGCCAACAAAAAACTAGAGGAATGTGATCCTTTTGTAAAGTTGATAGAAAATGGAGAGGAGATCAACTCCAACGTTGCATTGGGTGAATTATTTGTAATTGCAAAGAACATTTTAAAACAACTATCAGCACAATATCCCGAATCATTGGTAAGTCTACCGGTAAAGAAAAATTTTATATTATTTAAACAATCAGTTTATCTTTCGGAAAGGTGGTGCAGTGGTGGAACCTGCGTGCGATTTGTTTACACCAGCAATTAATTGATGAGCTCACTAGCAATTTATATGACAATTACAAAAAAGCGGCAGAATTTCTAATAAAACACGTTGATGCATTGGCGGATACCGAGCTTGAAGCTTTGCTGTATCTAGAAGTGGCAAATGGTTATTTGCTATTCCATCGCTCACAAAAATCGGATGAACTGCTGGAGGAATTATGCAAACGCTTGAATGTTGTACTAAATGTTGAAGGTAAGTAAATTGAAGGTATTTGTGATATATTGATTAAAAATTTCGTTTTTTATAAAGGTTTACTTGGTGTACGCACAAAATTCCAGCAAAAGCCGCTACCTCAACTTTGTCTCAAAGTAGAGCACGCCAATGATGAGTACTTACGCACTGCGAAAGAAACAAATGGTAATACCAGTTTACCAAAACTATTGCTATTGGAAGATGACACGCGTTTGGAACGCATACGTTTCATAGAGCCAAAAGATAATGATATCATGACTCTACCAAGTGTTTTACAAGCCTTAGTATTAGCAAAAGTGTTAGTAAACAAATTCTTTGTGTATTGATTTGTAATTAATTTTTTATTTTTTTGCAGCAAACAACTTAAACGTTCTCAACCAAAAGATCGACTAGCAGACGAAGAGTTAGAACCTTATATACAAACATTACTCTACCAAGAATGTGGGCCATTGCAAGTGCGTCTAGCAGTTTTATTGCTAAATTGCGTGCAGGAATCGTCACAACGACGCACAGTCGAACGCAGCTGGAAACAATGTGAAGAAGCTGTTAAACTGTTGAATGAGAGCACATACTCCACACAAGATCGTCTTTCATATGCTTTTGCTGGTTTCCTGCAACCCACGTGGCAAGTTAAAATGCAACTTTGTGAGTTGTTACTCTCCCTTGGCATGACTAAAACCGCTTTGGACATATATTTGAAAATAAAAGCCTGGGAACAAGTAATTAACTGTTACACGCGCTTGGAGTTGCGCAATAATGCAGCGGAAATTATACGCCAAGAATTACAGAAAAAACCAACAGCCTTACTGCATTGTCTACTTGGCGATGCTACCGATGATCCCACACATTACGAAACTGCTTGGCAGTTTTCCAAAGAAACTAGCGGCAAAGCTCAAGCACATTGGGGCAACTATTTCTTCGGCAGAAAAGAATACGAAAAAGCTATAGAACACCTTGAGAAGTCTGTACAAATAAATTCATTGCAAGAAAAAATTTGGTTACGTTTAGGATATGCAGCTATAATGATAGAACGCTGGGAATTGGCAGTACACGCATACATAACCTATACACATTTGGAACCGCTCGGTTTTGAATCTTGGAACAATTTAGCCAAAGCGCTTATTAAGTTGGGTGATAAGATGCGTGCACATAAAGTGTTAAGTGAATCCTTAAAATGTAACTACCACAACTGGAAGGTAAACTACAATTCCGCTTATTGTTTTCATATAAAATTAATATTCTATTACTTACTTTATCTACAGGTTTGGGAAAATTTTATGTTGGTTTCGGTGGACACAGGGCATTTCGAAGATGCAATAAATGCCTACAACCGCTTAAGTGATTTAAAGCAACATTTTCTAGACTTAGAAGTGCTTTGTGTTACCATGACAGCCATAGCACAAGGCAAACCTGATGCTAAAGGTCAAACAGCAGAGCGTTTACATAAAAAAGCGGTGTCACTTATGGCCCAGCAGTGTATCAAACATGGTAATGAGTCAAAAGTCTGGGAACTTGCCGCATTACTCGCCAAAACGCCACTTGATAAAGCGCAGAAATTAATCAAATCTTACCGTTCTTACACCAGTAAAGAACTTGCCTGGGCGAGTAAACAACCATTTTCGTTAAAAGCACTACAATTAACGCGGGAAATTTGTACATTATCACTGCAAGCAATTACAGAACATTCCACAGAAGAAACGCCCGGCATGATAACATCACAATTAAGCTCAGCTCGTCTATCTGCACAAGCCTGCATACGTGCCGTAGAGAAAGAAACCGAAAACTGGCCAGAGAACCAAGAATTGCTGCAAGAAGTCAAGGAATTATTTGAACGAACAACAGAGCAAGTAAAACAGCGCATGGAAAATAAATAATTTATTTATTAAATATAAAAAAAGCATTAAAGCTATATTTGACTTTTTTGTTATAAACAATATTTGTATTAAATAAAAATATATTTAAAAATAATAATTTAATTTCGTTAATAATACATTTACGTTCTGATCAAAAACGCCAGAAACTTGTAAATTCAATTTGTTTGGATTTTTGTATTTTTTGTTGTCGTAAAAAAATCGAATTAAATAATAAATAATTAGTTATAACAATTTAATTTTGTTGTTACTAATACACGTACGCTCTGATCGAAAGCGCCAAAAACCCCTAAACCCAGTTTGTCTGGATGCCAATCAAAGCAATGTACTGGTTGTGAGGATACTGTACTAGCATTTAACATCTCCAGTGTGCCGGGAACACCCTCCATTAAACCATTGCCATCATCCTTTTGTCGCTTGCCTGGGTATTCATACTTCCATAGACGCAAGGAACCAGTGCCACCGGACGTAACAAATATATCGCGATTTTGCGGCAAATGGCGTATAGTCCAAAGTGTTGATTTAGGGCCACTTATAACACCATGTGAACCAACGGAACGTCCCGCATTACGCTCTTCAACACTAGCAAATCCCTTACTTGCATGTTGGGTGCGCATATCGAATACATGCAGCCCACCTTCTAATGTCGTAACGCCCATTTTATTCATTTTAATATCACGTCTATCGAACTCGATACCACAGACGCCATTCTTCAAAGTAGTTTCCCAACGCACAGCCAATTGGCGTAAATCAAATAATTTTAGATCCCCATTATCATAGCCTGCCGCTACTACGCGCTCCTGATTATCAAAGCTATTACCGAAAGCAACAGCCCAGCAATCACGTCTGTCGCCTTCAGCACCCTCTGGTGTCATATCTACTACGGGTGCTTGACCTTGACGTATGTCCCATACTTTAACGCTACCATCACGACTGCCTGTCACAATTTCTGGTGGACCACAATCAATTTGCTTTCCTCCAATACCATCAATACTATTGATGATGCTTTTATGCGCCACCACGTTGTACACAGGTAAATCAGTGCGGTCCAAATCACTGCACGAAAAGTAGTTTATTATCGAAAATTCATACATAAATCTTTAACTTTTACTCACAGTACTTGTAGTCTTCCTTTGAAGTCACCAATTGCCATATGACGATTGCGTAAACTCGCCGCACCAAATGTTCCACACTTGAAAGCATCACTTTTTTCAACCACTTTGATCTTTTCCACTTTATTCTTGTTTAATTCGTATATCTCAAGTATACCATGGCTATTAGGTTTGGAGCCTAGGACGACAAACTTTGCCGAGCATGGAATCCACTTGCAATCAAAAATCGTGTAATTAACCGATTGCTGTATGTGCTCAACCATTTGTGGTTTATCCATCTTTCCGCCTTAATTCTTTGCTGGCGCTTATATTTTTTGCGTGTTGTTTGTTCAATGTAATAGTTCAATATAATTTTTTTGAAAGCGCACATTTAGACAGTTGCTATGGTTCCTTTGCCTTTTTGTTTTAAATTTGAAACACCTGTTTCGATTTTTAGAATTCCTCTCTATTTTATACCTGCAGTGTTGCATTTCTCATAAAAAAAATTTAAACTTGCACTGCAAGTGATATTGTATTATACAACATGGAACTACCGGTTTAACGTATACGAACGTATTGGTTTCCAATTGGATTTTTACCAAATTAGATAATATTATATTGGGCACCACATGAAAAACCCTAAAAGCATAATACAATTTTGCACTGCGAGTGATATTGTATTATAAAAACGTATACGACCGTATTGGTTTCCAATTGGATTTCTACCAAATTATATATTATAATGAACACACCTTGAAAAACCCTAAAAGCATAATATGATATGACTTGGCAACGAAACTTATTTAATGAAACTGAACAAAAAATTGTATTAGATTGTGTTAGAAGTTTACCACCTGTCTACACTGACAAGAGTTTGGTAAGATTATTTTTCAAACGAGATACATATATAAATTAAAACATAAAAATCTTGCTAAAATCTAGTCAGTGTATTTATAGTAATATTGTGGATAAAATAAAGTTTATAAAAAAATCAAAAGTTATGGTAAATATATTATCTGTTTTGTATAAGTCATTATGTTCAGTGCATAATTTAAAAATATTCATTTAATATCAAACATTTTTTTAAATAGCAAAACAAATGGCAGGAAATAAAAAAATACATAACACGTACATCAAAATTTTTTTGATCGCATTGTAATCAATAAAGTTTTCTGGAAGCAGTCAATTCACCAGTGGAAACAAAAATACAACTGTGGATTACAAAAATTCACCAAGTTTTTACAAACCATTTTTATATTATTATTCGTATTACTTATAGAGCGTTTACATTAACCATAAAAATTATCTAAAATTATCAGAGTTAGATTTTACTCGCAAAAAAATTGATGTCTAAAACTTGAATGCGTCCAAATTCAAAAATCTGTCTATTGTGATTGTTCACTGAAAATATGTTTCAAAATTCAAGTCGTTGGTATTATATCATATTGTACACAACACAACAAAAAACATATATCAAACAAGAGCATTCAACATATCTTAAAAGTTCTTTCTTTCAACCAGAGTTAATATTATTTTTTTCCTGTTCTGAAAGAAAAAAATTACGGCTATTGTAAGATTAACAGTAGATTAAAGCAATAATCAAGATTAAAGTACTAATCTAGGTGTTTAATGACAGATTTTCCATACAAGAGTTATTATGGTTTTGCCGAGATTAATTTTTAATCTTCTTAGATATGGTGATTATTTTTTTGTACAACTCTGCAAATGGCTTAATGTCGTAGATTTTTTTTACGATATTAGAAGAATTGTAAAATATATGTCAAAATCTATTCAAAACAAACATTGAACATTTGAAAATGCCGAAGTGAGTGAATTGTTTATTACATTTGTTTCATAATAGTTTTATATATAAAATTATTTTAAAATTTGTTTAATTTTTGTTTTAAAACTATCTTTTAAATTTAGATTATAATTTTTTGTACAATATTCTTTTTAAATGCTTTATTTACAGAAATTTATTAAATATAGGAAACAAAACATAACAAGAGAAACGTCAAAATTAATCCTGAATGTATAAAGTAAACGGTACAGATAAAAAAGCAAATTAACTTAATTTCGTTCTCTCAATCTCACAATGTAAACGTAGTATAATTATGGCAAAATAAATAAATATGACAAATCAAATACGATCTCCACATAACATTGACAAAAACCAATGCCTTCTTTCTGGCTAAAAGATATGTAAGATAACATATTGAAAGTAATTTAATTTTTTTTATATACATATATTAATTAAGCGAAATTCACATACAACTCTGTAAATATATATGGGATATTTCAACTAAAAATTGCATATATATTTGTTTGTGCGAAATTACAATGCCGACGAGATATCAAACTAGAACCGGAAACACTTATATGATGCACATATAGATATTCAAATGTTAGTTATGAATTAAATGCTATTATTACTATTATTTTGTGACTAAATTGTCATATTTATAGAGCAAAATTTCTGTAGTGACACATGTTAAAGACATAAAAATCCGCGTCACAAATTAATCAAAATTCAAATTTTCAAGTTTTTATATAAAACTCCATACAAAAATATTATTGCAAAAATTTTATATTTAAAATAAATATTTTGTGTGTTAATAAGCTTTACATTGAAAATCACAATTTTACATTTGACGTGACTATGACTGTTTGTATAATGAGATCATAACGTGCTAACATATCAAGTACTGATAATTTTTTAGTATTCAATTAAACATCAGCTGTTTTTTATTAATGCCATTTTTTGCATAAAACTAAAATTTAATTTGATATGTTGAAGAATTTAAAGAAAATAAAACATAGAGTTACATTAATACACATAAAAACTTTAATAAAATAAAAAATTATTCTTTAATATAATTTCTTTTACTTGTACGCAGTATTTTCTTGCTTTATATGACTCAAAGTAAACAAAAATATTATCAGCTATATATATCATAAATATATATATGTCTATATACTGTGTATTAAAACCGCGTATATATATTTGTAAAAATGTTTAACTTGTTTGCACATTTTGCAATTGCAGTGTTTATTTTACACTTTTTACTAATTCTGTCCCACTGTCTGAAACAATCAGCTGTTAATTGACAATAAAATATGGCACAAGCGAGGAGAGAAACACATGAGAACAAGTGCGAGCACAAATTTGGTGACAACAAGAATTATTTACACAATGTTTTGTGTATTAAAATATAAAACAAATTATAATTAAATGTATAATAAATTAAAAAATTCGTTAATTATTGAAAGTAAATAATTATGTTGTTGCGTTAATGGATTTACCAGCAATGCGTGCTTGTGCTCTGTCCCCGCAAGTTTAATGTTTGCTGATAATTTGTTTTGTCATAATTATAATGAACAGAAAAGTGAATAATAAATTTTCGGAGTGGAACCGTTCAATTTATTTTGGCTCAGTCAATTTATTGGTCTTGAAGGGTTCGGTTAGAAGTGTTGCTTTTACATTTCTCACTTTCGAATTTGGCTCTATTTTTATGGAATTTTTTTTATTTTAGTTTTCTTATGTATTGTATTTAATGTGCAAAATGTTACGTAGAACCGCCAAAAGTTGAAACGTACTTTCTACACCGTCCACTCTAAAATAATTAAATAAATTATAAATATATTTGCTAATAATATGTAAAGAGCTATACTAACAAAGTTAATTCAGCGAAAATTGTGAAATTACTTAAGTGCAAAAAAATTATTCGGCCGCGTAATTAACAAATGAAATTTAATTAGCATTGGAAAATTAAGTTTTAGGAAATTTTTAAAAAGAAAACAAAACTCAAGGTTGTGATAGCAACAGGAATAAAAAGGTAACAATAACTCATTTAATTTATTTTAAAGCAACGTAATTTACGCATTTCGGGCAGTAGTTCTACCTGTGTGGAATGTCGTTCACAAGTATTTGCCTTGTTAGGAAAATATTTATGAGCAAACAAATTTGTCAAAGGATACAAATGTCCATTTGTTATTTAATTAACAATCAAACTTACATGCAATTTATTTGTTCTGTTTTGTTACACAATATTAATTGTGTGCTCATGTGAGGCCAGCGCGGCGACCGATAAGGGAAATGTACAGTGAAAAAAATCACCACTTCGAGAAAAGCATACAATCATACACAAACACACATACCTACACACACGATCTAATCGCTGTGTTTCTATGCAAATGAGTCAAATCAGACAAGTGTCAGACGAGTTTTGTTTATAAAGCGCCGCCAAAACGGAACGGCAAGTGTTTATGGGAACAAAACCGATCATAAATTTTAATTTCGCATTTTACTTTTCTAGAGCAGTGACTTCGCAATTTAACCTAAGTTCCCAATTAAATTTAAAGAAAAATTGTATTAAGCAATTCTTAACAGTTTTTATTTGGGTTACCAAAACGAGACAATTCTTTTTTAATTTATTTTATATTTATTTCGATTTTTTTTATTGCTTACATGAATGCTCAGTTATGGCTCATATAACTTATATACGACAAGTCCTAAGAGCCCGTAATATAATAGATAAAATTTTTGGACTCATTCGGGAGTAGTACATAGTGGCGTTTTTATGTAAAAACCAAGCAAACATTTCTCGGTATATGGGAAAGATCAACAAAACTGCTTTTATATCCAAAGCTCTATTCGTTTTTGTTAAAGGATTTATTAGATCGTTATATATTGTACATGTTTAATGGACATTTTGATGGTAATAAGGATTATTCCGAAATAATTACGAACCTGACTTAGCGAGTTCGTCAGCTATACACAGGTTTCTTCCATATCTTTATCCTAAAAATTAAGATATTTTGAAGCTTGCTTTATAGATCAGTGATTCCCAACCTTTCTTTGAGCAAGGACCACTATGACATTTTTGTTTTTAATAGAGACCACGAAGTAGGTACGTGTACAACAATTAGCGATTTTTCGCCGTTTTATTACCACATTCCTCGCAAGAACCCTTAATATAGAAGAGTAAAGACTTAATCCATCCCGTCGAATTTAGATAATTTAATAGGTCTCTCGTTTTCATCGATGAACAGTCTGATGAACTGTCAAAGAAGTATCTTCCTAAAAACATATTTCTTCTGGACGTTAAAGCTGAACATTCACAGAGAAAATGTTTTGAGTTTTTTTAATCCTAAGGTTAACACAACTTGCAGTGATGAGGATTTGAGAAATGTACACTTTCTCTAAGTGAGTTTTTATACACTAATGAGCAGAAAGAACTACAGTAAGCCTTGCAGTATTTACGCGGTCTCTTTTGATGAGTTCCGAGTATCTAATATTGTTATAGATGGGTCATGTTAACCTGGAAGTTGCACATGCCTTAAATGCTTTCCATCTGTTATTAGTTGAAGAAAGTAGAAGTAGGTACTTCTCTTAATGGTCTTTAGGGTAATATAAACCGGTACTGCCAGGGA